AAGAACATATTAGAGCAATACGTGGAAATTATGCAAATTCTGCAGTAGCGGAACACTGCAATTCAACAGGATGTGAAATAATATTAAAATCAGTTAAAATAAGAAAAAAAGAAGAAAATAATTATAAACGACAATTATATGAACACATTAATATAATCAAACAAAACAATAGAATGAATAACAACAACGGAAGAGAAATACACCAATCATGGAGAAGAATGATAGCCACAAACAGGAAAGTGACGTATAAAGAGAATGAAAGAGACTGGCAAAGACAAAGTGAAAGTGAAGAAAGACAAAAAGAAATGTAAGTTGGAATTAGTTTTAAATGTACAAATATATAAAATGTTAACGTTTATTGTAAAATGTCAACGTTTAACGAAAAATGTCAGTGTTTAATGTAACAATTATTGGTTTTAATACAGGAATGTTTTAAAATTAATATTGATTGTAATTGGAATGAATTATTGGAGGATAGACGGAATAGAAAGAAAGAACATTAAAATAATATGAATTTTATAATTTATTATCGTAGGCATAAGAATTTTAAAAATATTGTCGGTAAATTAAGTTTGTTTGAATTTTATTTAGAATTTGTTTGTCAAATACCTGCTGAAGAGGGAGATACAAGTCCGAAACACAAATTGTGTGTCCAGGTAATTGTAAAATAAAACAATTTTAATCTGTGTAACTGAGGCTGTAATTTTATACACCAGTATGATAAGTCCTATTAATAGAAATACACTGATATAGTGATTGAAAGAATAATTTTGAAGATACAACTAGTATTTGCAATGCAATTTTTACTTTATTAAATTGTAATTTCCACAGCCCTTTTTTACAAAAAAAATTCTTTAATACATAGTTTGAAGTCTTTTCCTATCAGATTTTATTTAAAGAACAATCTGCATTTATAAAAATATAAACCATAAAATTTTAATTTCAGGTCGCAATTGATTTCACAGGATCAAATGGAAATCCTGCAGAACCTAATTCCCTTCATTATATAAGCAATAATCCAAATGATTATATGAAAGCTATATGGGCTGTTGGAAATGTAATTCAAGATTATGATAGGTATTTATTTTTTTAATTAGAAACAAGAAAATTTATTTTTAAAATATATTTTCATATTAACTGTTAATGGATTTATCATACTTTTAATGAAAATAAATAAATTAGAAATAGATCCAAAATAATGGATATACTTTCTCCTTGGTAACAGCTGTATCAACATATTGATAACTAAATTGATAAGCAAATGAAGCTAGCCCAATACTGTTGTATGAAAAGTGAAGATTAATACTTCAATGTTGTATTTTTCTTATTTTATTTGTTAAAATAGTCTTTCTTCTTAAATCCTTATTGATTAATTGTAAAACAATAAGACAGCAATTAAAATGTATGTGAAGATTTTTAAGATAGAGTTGTCAACATATATGTATTAGTGCCTTATATGTATTATATGTTGGTACTATTGCTGTAAAAAGTACTTTAGAAATATTGAATTGTACAATAGTTTAGAATGGAATCCTAACTCATAACACTTAAAAAAGTATTACTTCTAGAAGAATGAACTTCTTGAATTTGATGTCAAACAATATGTAGAATCAGAAACAGTTGTTGATTGAAGTTGATATAAATTTTTAATTATTTTATGCAATTTAATACATCTGAAGACACTTTCAATAATAAAACAAACATATATAATTTTGTTGACAGCTTTTTATGTAAAATTATCCTCATTTTTATTGTACATGTTGCAAATGGAGTGTAAAAAATTAATTATAAGGAAGCATAGTACGTTTTAAAAGACATATGAAAATACTGTAATAACTGTTGAGAATAATCTGTTATGATTGAACTAAAATTTTGTGATAAAAATTGCTAAACTGCACAACTATGCTAGAATGCAACTGAAACATATGAAAACAGATATTGGGAATGGAGTCACTTTTTATTTCCCATTTTAGTGCAATTTTTGAATTTTTCATAAATATTCTTTGAAGATATTCATAATACTAAAATTATTTCATTTCAAATGTTGTGATTGATACTAAAGGACATCATTTATTGTAATGAGAATTTGAATATATGGAATTTGGATATCACAACTCTTGGCATAATTTTCTGATGAACTGGGATATGATGTAGGACAGCAGTTATAAATGAAAAAATTGAAAAGAAATATGCTAGTAATAAAATTTATTTTTAAGATAAATTAAGCACAAATATTAAACAAATTACAGTATTTCCATAAGAATTAAACTTTTTGTATAAGAAATAAAAATTTACTAATCACATTATACACTTTACACAATTTTTTAATCAAACAGACGTTTTTGATCCCATTCAGAGGATGCCTCAGGTTAAAAATGTATTAAAATACAAATTAAAGAAAAAAACTTGAGTTCTAATGGTACAACTATAACTGCTATTTTTAAATTTACAAAATTTGAAAAACAAACGATTTGTTTTACATAGCGTTTGTTTTTCTACATATTTTAAAAGCTCTGCAAACAAATAATTTATGTATTTTTAAAATGAAAACATTAAAATAAATAAAAATATAAAATAAATACACATGTTATTGACAAAAGTTTTTTAAGTCGAGCTTATGTCATTCTCTTTCCTCATTGGGCTATCAACTAGAGACTGCAATGCTTTGGATAATGTTTCATTCTTGAAATTAATGCATTCACCCTTTCTAGATGCTTGGGATATTTCAAAAGCTTTCATTGATCATAACTTGTTGATGTCAAACACCCTTTTTAATAACATGCCAACACTCCACTTCACTCGCAAGGGAGGTGTCGGCAAGTGGGCAAGCACTGTGGATAGACTATTTGTATGAACATCACATTTATGTTTCCTGAGTCTTTAGGTTAATGATCTTTCAGTGGCACCTATGTATGTAAAATTTCAACCAAATCTATCTTCCCATACTTGAATAGTGTATACCCCGGGGAGTAAGTTTCTATCTATGGAATCACTACCATTAGATAGAAGCCAATGGTAAAGATAAAATATGTTGTTTGTTTTTTGACTTTTGTAAATTTAAAAATAAGTTTGAGAATACTTGTATCTGAAGATGGCCTATTATATTAGGTTATATCATATCATATATTCGAAAACGTTAATGTTTCTTTAATAAACGTTTTCTCAGCATCAGGTGTTGGATGATTTATTAAAAATAGTAATTATAGTTCTATCATTAGAACTCAGTTCTTTTCTTTAATTTTTATTTTAACATATTTTTAACCTGAGGCAGACCTCTAAATGGGATCGAAAATGTTTGTTTTGATTAAATTAGTGCTGGAAAAGTATGTAAGGTGTAGTATGATTAGTATATTTGTTTCCAGTTTTTCTACAAGTGCTTTTTGAATTAAAATTTAACAGGAAATTTTTGTCCTCACCATGAAGATAAAATTTTATGATTGTGTTGTTTTGCAGACATAATTTTCTGATCATATTCAATAAATAATACATAACAAAATTTTATGTATAACAGCCATTATACATTTTTGCATTGATTGTATCAGGCTTTGGCAGTAATGTTTATCAATTTCTTGCCAATTCACTATAATTGCTACATTTAATTCCTTCCTTCTTTGGTGCCTTTGAAGTGACAAGACTTTTTAACTTGATAGGACTTAAATCCAGACTATTGGCAGGCAACTTTAACCTTTCAACAGTGGGATAGTCAGGTATGGTGCTATCCCAAAGTAGTGGAGAATAAATGTGGGAAATTTTTAAAGTATTTTTCCACGCATTTTTTCTCAATACCGTTTCGGAAAAAGATTTTGTAAACAGTTATGTCTAAGAAAAGTCTTTTTTTATTGTTACATAATTCATTTTTTATGTGAATTTTTTTTATGGTAGTTTCTGGCTAGTTTTTGGCAATACCCCCAAAAGAATTTAACGGATATATCCATCCCTCACCATTGCTACACTATCGCCCTGGATGGATATAATCGTCTCTCATTGTCAAGTGGTTAAACACCTGATTTTTCTCTTTTTTGTAACAAATCCTTTATTTATCTTGCTCAATAGAAACTAGCATTGTCATCTTGAAACCAACAGTTATTGGAATCATTAAAGTGTTTATCAACTGATGGTATGAGAAACTGCTCAATTATTTCCATATAAATCTTGGCTTCTGTCATACACAGGTTTTCGTTATCTTCTAGGACATGCAACTCTATACCATCAAACTTGTAGGAAATTTAATAGACTTCAGTAGACAGTTTAATTCAAGTAGACAGACCTCATTACATTTTTCTGATGCACATCTCCAAACAAATTTCTCTACAGTCACCAACTCCCACATAAATTCATGATTTTTCACTAAATTCTACTCCTTACTTACTCTGTCATCAAGTGTTTGTTGTCTAGCCAAAATATAACTGCTTCTCCTTTGTACAGTCATTGGTAGTAGCTTAATTTTGATGTTGCCAAACTTAAACTTTATTTCTTGAGTTGATGATGTACTGTTCTGTCAGAAGTTTGCTTTCTTTACTCATTATTCATTTATTTTGTATTATTTTTATGATTTCTTCATCAAATATTTCTCAGATTTTTATCATTTCTCTTAGTTGTCTTTCTATGATCACCAGCACATGGATGATTAGTTAATATCTTCCATGTTATTGTATTTTTTCAAACATCAGATATTGTTCTCTGAGCACAACTGAACAATTTAGCAACTTCTTAGTGTGATTTTCCCTTTTGTAACATTATAATAATCATCATTCTTTTTGTAACATTTCATAGTTCCTTTTTACTGCTCATAATTTGAAACATAAAATGACAAGCAATAGCAAATAATTGAGAAAGTTTACCAGAAATATTTGTATCTGCATTCTCCTGATTACTTTAATATGTAAATTTGAATCAAGGTTCTAATGGAAGATACAATGCTTGATCAGAATATTGTCTGCAGAATGACACAGTAATAAAATTTTGTCTTCAGGGTAAGGACAGAATTTTTGAATTTATTTCCTGTAATAATAAATTCACCAGTATAACTAACTAAAGCTCAGTAAAACTTCTGTATACAGCTGACTGTAATAAATTAATGTACCATATATCCATTTTCATTTTTTCACATCATTAGAGAAAACACCCACTAACCTTGGACTTCCATAAACTCAGACAACTTAAGTTTGAGTTAGTGGGAGTTTACTGTATTATAAATTAATATATCATTGTTTTTTGAAATTATTCATTAACTTTTTTCAGTGATAAAATGTTTCCTGCTCTGGGTTTTGGAGCAAGAATACCTCCATCATGGGAAGTATCCCATGAATTTGCTATTAACTTTAACAACAGCAATCCATTCTGTACTGGTAAATTTGAAATTGTTAAATACTTAATTAAAATATTATAATTTCAAATAAAATGCTAACTTTTTAGTTTAAAAAAAAGTACTAAACATTAGAATTATCAAAGATGAAAATAGCATAGAAATAATAAAGCTTAAATTCAAATATTATTTCTTTGAGTGTTTATATAAATTTCATGAAANTAACTCAAATTTAATATATATGTACAGTACTTTAAAAAAAAAAAAATTACTGCCGACATGCATATAAGGTGACTAAAAATAAAGTTCTGTTCCAGGAAAAATGTAACAATAACTAAAAAGCAGTTTTTAGTATTTATTATTTTCTTACAATATAACTGTATCTGTATACATTTAGAAATTATATTGTAACATTTATAATATTTTCCAAAGGTTTTGTATAGTTTGTACAGTTCTTCTACACTTTTTCCTTACTTCTTATTTCAGATTTAGTGTCAGTTGCAAAATGTCATTTTTGTAACTACATTTTTACCTTTCCCTTTCAAAATATTATTATTAATACTTTTCATATCTACTATGTTCTTGTTTCTTGACAAGAACATAGTGGGAACCAGTGGCATGTGGTGATATTTGATGATAGAGAAGCTGTGCCAGCCCTGGATAGAATAATTAGAAGCATTATATGATATTTTGGTGTGTATTATTCACCAGCTAAACTGCAAGGTTAGTGCTCTGTAAAGTGCATGTGTGAATGCCTGTAATCTGGCTGCTTTACACCATTCAAATAGCTGTAGAAGCTGCCCCATATTCGACAATACAGCACTTTCATTGGGAATATGCATAAAAAATTTATATTCAAAAATAGCAATCTTATTATTGTTTTTCATGTGTAGTATAGAAATTTGTAATAAGATACATAATGCAGTTATAATAAAATATTAATTTTAATTATTTCAAAGTATGTTAAAATATGAAAATAATCACACAATATATATTTATATTTTAGAAAATACAAGGGAAGCAGCACTTCCACAGCTTCCACAGACAGCACACCACTGGTGGGAACAGACAATTATCAGAGAATACTATTTGTACATTGAAAGATGGTCTATGATGAAATGAGAATTTTCACATCATTTGCTTTTTATGTCAACTTCAGTGAATCCATGTCATTCATTGTAGAATATTCCAATTCTTTTCATTAAATTTTATTGTACTAGTCACCACATTTCTAATTTGAACATTGAATTTTTTTTTTTTTGAGCATCTACTAGTACATAGCATTAAAAATATTAATAGTTGGTACTAGCTGCAGGTACGATATACCAGTGCATTCTGGCTGAAAAATAGTCCTAAATTTCTGTTAAGTAATTCTTATTTAGAGAAAAATCTTTTTAATTAATTAATCTACAGTTTTAAATTAATAGATAATAACCTGGTTAATAGAGTAATATCACTTCTCTTTTTCTTCTTATGTTTAATTAATAGATTAACTTTTATTCTAAGTTATTTAACATTAGAGGCAATATTCTGATAATTTTGTATGTTTTTTTGTAGCTAGAATGGCCTTGTATCAATAAAAAGAAACAGAGAGACAAAGGATCCTCTTACAAAAATTCTGGAATAATATATTTATCATCTTGTAAGGTATATTGCATTTCAAAACAGTATTTATTATTACATAAATAAAATAATAACAAGAAAAATTTTATGTAAATACAGTAGAGTCTCGAAAACATGGCCTAATGTGGACCGAAGGGTGGCCGAGTTTGTGAAAATGCCGGGTTGTCGGAAATGGGGTTAAAAAAAATAAGTATGAGTGTTTCCTCAGAAAATACTGTACTGTACTTTATGTATTGTTTACTTGAGAATACAACAGAGAATAAACTGCCCAAATACCCTTAAACAAAGGAAAAGTACGTACTTTATGAAGACATAGAGCCTTTACTACATGAAAATGAAACTTAATGAATACACTGTGTACAGTAATTTACCAGATAAGACAGACCTCAGAAAAATACTTTATGAGGCATAAAGCTGTCTATAATGAAAATTAATTAACTAAGGATTTTTTTGAACTGCCAGGGTGTGGCCGAGTTATCTGGACTGCCAGGTTATCGAGTGCCGAGTTTTTGAGACTCTACTGTATTAACAAAATCTTGTTTTACTTTCTTCTGGGTTGTCTAATTTAGTGTAAATATCAAATTTGGTTCTAATTAATTACTAAAAAACATAAAATTAGTTTATTTAGAAAACTAAAAGCTACATATAATTTTAATAGTTATTTTTGCAATTTGAAGCTATTAGCTATGAAATTTAATACTACATAGCTATTTTTTAATTATTTAAAATTTTTATTGTGGAATAAAAAGATTTATAATTATGATAAAATTTGAGTTATCAGGTAAAATACATTATTGTGTCATTTGTAAAAATAGACATGTAGGTTAAATAGGCAAAACGTTAAATTAGGAATGTTATTTATTTAAATTTTTATCATCATTCTGTTTAATGCTTTATTTAGCTAAAATTGATAATTATTTTTATAGGTAATTAAAAATTATACCTTTCTGGATTATATATTTGGTGGAACTCAAATTAATTTTACAGTAAGTAATATACTTCATAAAATTAAGTGTTAATAATTAAAATACTTAAATTTAATATAATAATATAAATAATTTAAAATAAAATTAATTTTTGAATTTCACTTAAAATTTATCATATACTGTATATTCTTGATTTTTCTTTAAAGTTTCACAAGGTTATATAAACAATCAGAAATATTCTTTCAGAATTAAATTATTTTTGCTTATACCTGCTTGTTTTAAAAAATTCAAAAATGGCTTTGTTGATTAGATGGATACTACAAAACAGATATTTTTGTACAAATACATAAGATATTTTATAGTAAAACTGCTATTGAAAATACATCATTTGTATTAAATAACATCAGAAACAGAACATGTATTTTGTTTAACTATACAAAATAAGTCACAGAATGAGAAATAAACTTTTAAGAGAAATTAAAAACTTTTTAAAGAAAATTGGAATACTAAGAATAGTTAAGATTGATTAACCATTTTTAGTATAGTATAAATCATTTTATAATTTAAAATTGTATTAAAAGTATTTGACTAAGAACTGTACATTTTAGTTAGTATTAGTTATTGTAACACACCAATAGTGTAAAACCAACTGCCTTGCAGTGTTATTTAATATTAAATAAAAATTACAAATATAAATGTAAGCATTTTTCATAAAGTAACTTATTGTTATCAGGCAATAGAACATATTGCAGATTCTGAAATTATATGTTTCTTCTACATTTATCTTTTTTACAGATTGTTTTTTTAATGTTTTATACGTAAAAATAAAAAATTACAAATGCAGTTTTGCATATTCACTACTTCCAACTCTTTAATACATATTTAATAAAGTAAAAATTGCATTGCAAATACTAGTTGTATCTTGCTTGCTCACCATGTCCAATCACCTGGAACAACCATTCTTTACTGCAGAGACGACCTTTCTTTGTAGGCTACAGTTCTGCACAAATATGTAAAATAGTCTAAAATGTCCACAGGTTTACATATTTGTGCAGAGCTGTAGCCTACAAAGAAAGGTCGTCTCTGCAGTGAAGAATGGTTGTTCCAGGTGATTGGACATGGTGAGCAAGCAAGATACAACTAGTATTTGCAATGCAATTTTTACTTTATTAAATATGTATTAAAGAGTTGGAAGTAGTGAATATGCAAAACTGCATTTGTAATTTTTTATTTTTACGTATAAAACATTAAAAAAACAATCTGTAAAAAAGATAAATGTAGAAGAAACATATAATTTCAGAATCTGCAATATGTTCTATTGCCTGATAACAATAAGTTACTTTATGAAAAATGCTTACATTTATATTTGTAATTTTTATTTAATATTAAATAACACTGCAAGGCAGTTGGTTTTACACTATTGGTGTGTTACAATAACTAATACTAACTAAAATGTACAGTTCTTAGTCAAATACTTTTAATACAATTTTAAATTATAAAATGATTTATACTATACTAAAAATGGTTAATCAATCTTAACTATTCTTAGTATTCCAATTTTCTTTAAAAAGTTTTTAATTTCTCTTAAAAGTTTATTTCTCATTCTGTGACTTATTTTGTATAGTTAAACAAAATACATGTTCTGTTTCTGATGTTATTTAATACAAATGATGTATTTTCAATAGCAGTTTTACTATAAAATATCTTATGTATTTGTACAAAAATATCTGTTTTGTAGTATCCATCTAATCAACAAAGCCATTTTTGAATTTTTTAAAACAAGCAGGTATAAGCAAAAATAATTTAATTCTGAAAGAATATTTCTGATTGTTTATATAACCTTGTGAAACTTTAAAGAAAAATCAAGAATATACAGTATATGATAAATTTTAAGTGAAATTCAAAAATTAATTTTATTTTAAATTATTTATATTATTATATTAAATTTAAGTATTTTAATTATTAACACTTAATTTTATGAAGTATATTACTTACTGTAAAATTAATTTGAGTTCCACCAAATATATAATCCAGAAAGGTATAATTTTTAATTACCTATAAAAATAATTATCAATTTTAGCTAAATAAAGCATTAAACAGAATGATGATAAAAATTTAAATAAATAACATTCCTAATTTAACGTTTTGCCTATTTAACCTACATGTCTATTTTTACAAATGACACAATAATGTATTTTACCTGATAACTCAAATTTTATCATAATTATAAATCTTTTTATTCCACAATAAAAATTTTAAATAATTAAAAAATAGCTATGTAGTATTAAATTTCATAGCTAATAGCTTCAAATTGCAAAAATAACTATTAAAATTATATGTAGCTTTTAGTTTTCTAAATAAACTAATTTTATGTTTTTTAGTAATTAATTAGAACCAAATTTGATATTTACACTAAATTAGACAACCCAGAAGAAAGTAAAACAAGATTTTGTTAATACAGTAGAGTCTCAAAAACTTGGCACTCGATAACCTGGCAGTCCAGATAACTCGGCCACACCCTGGCAGGACAAAAAAATCCTTAGTTAATTAATTTTCATTATAGACAGCTTTATGCCTCATAAAGTATTTTTCTGAGGTCTGTCTTATCAGGTAAATTACTGTACACAGTGTATTCATTAATTTTCATTTTCATGTAGTAAAGGCTCTATGCCTTCATAAAGGACATACTTTTCCTTTGTTTAAGGGTATTTGGGCAGTTTATTCTCTGTT